TGAACCGAAATTAGTATAGGCCACATTAGGTGGCGTGACAAGGGGCGGGGACTTTTATAAACAAGATTGACATTTTGAAGTAACAGCAAAGTACAATTAGTTGATAGACAGAATAATACAAAAACAACATTGAGACTGTGAGACATATCGTGATTCGTGAGACTGTGAGAAATTTAATATTTTAGGTTTAAGTTTTGTAAGTTTTATTTTTGGATTTTCGATTAAATAATTAATAGTATACTACGTGAGTAATGAGTTCGGTATACTAGTGGTGCCGTGACCAGGATTCGAGAGGAAAAAAGCGACGAAAATCAAACACACAAAGCGGCGAAATACGAAGTAAACACTGTTGATTTATCATTATGAGCGACGAAGAGGCGAGCGAGATTACAAACGCAGGTGAGCAAAAACTCGAAGGAGATATTGAGAAAGAGATTTCTAAGTTGAAGTATTTCTTAGAAGAAACAAATGAAATTATTCAAGCGAAAGATTACGGTGAAATGGAAGCTATAAACAATCGCGCTGGGAAAATAATCGTCAAAATATCGGAGCTAATTTCACAAACAGAAGAGTTGAAAATCGATAACGGCAAAACACCGCGTTCAGTTAGACAGTGGAAAAAGGAAACAAGAGCTAAATATTCAGCGCTGATCGAAGACAAAGAGAAAATAGCACAACAACTAAAGGAAAAACAAGAAAAAGCTTATGACGAAGCTGAATTACGACGGCTAGAATTGAAAGATAAACAATTTCAACAAGAAGAACAACGACGAGCTGAAATTCGCGAAGCACAAGAGGAACGCGAACGACAATTATGGCAAGAAAGGCACGAAGCTGAATTACGCATGACTCAGAGAAAGATTGAAATAGAAAAGACCGCTCGTTCATCTGCAGCGAAATTACCAAAGTTAAAAATAGGTACGCGACCGCGTACATGTATCTGCGCATTAAAGGTCCAGACACGCTGGACGCGATTCGACAACGCGACGCGATTTTTCGATTTTCACTGACCGTTAAATTTAATCCAAGTTTACATTTTCCAAATATTTAGAAGCGCTATAACATTCTAAGTTACTTGGTCTACATATGTTTGTAACTGATTTGCTCTCATTGGCTGTTTTTCAAACTAATTATATACTGAAAAATCGCGTCGCGTTGTCGAAGCGCGTCCGGTGTGTCTGAATCAGTCTTAAGGTCTGATTCCACGACGGCGAAATTCGTCGCGAGAGCTTGTGTCTGCGAAATACGGTGGTTGCACATGAGCGATTGTATTGAATTGTCCCACTTTGTCCGCTTTCGCAGTAAGTAGAAATGTTTCGCATTCATTGATGGTGCATTATCGAAATGACATTTTTACAGCAATTGTGCGAAATTGTGCTAGTTGAAATTATATGCCTGCTTCAGATATAATATTTACATTTAACTAGTGACTTCTAAATTAAGAGGACGAGAACCATTTATATCCCGAATCACGGCAACTGATAACAATCATACAAAAATGTTTCTTTTTATCTGGAGCTAAATATCTGCTATTCATACAGTTCATTACTTTTAAGAACAATTTAAAGAAAATAATTAATTAAGGCTGTAAAATGTGTGGATTTATTAAAGACGTGGGATTAGACATCTGTACATGGAGTCATGAGCTAATAATAGTTTCTGACATTTAAAACAACAGGGCTACGTTTATCCTATGCTTTGTTTTCATAGTTTAGCCTAGTTTCAGAGGCCTCCATTAAATAACAGTCAAGATATATACGCAAATATAATTTGCGTGTCTATTTAAAATTTGTAATTGTTTCGTGAAGATTCAACCATAAAACAATTGCCGGAAATGCAGGTCCTGTTTATAAAAACTCAGGGAAAACCCGTGAGGTATGAAATGCATGGCGTAAACATGTCAATCAAATATCTATAAATATGACGTTTTATAATTGCACAGTACATCGTGTACGTTCTTGTTGTAGAACTTGTGTTGCTCCAAATCGAGTATGAAGTAAAATCAGGAGCATACTGTCACAGGCTAATTTTGTATTTTAATACCTCTGGAAATATCAAGGCTTTGGTACCCCTATCTATCACAAAACTGAGTAACAAATCCAAAACGAAGTATGAGGACTAATATTTTTATATATATCATTTCACAGATTAAAAGTATTATTCAAGAAATATGTCCATTTTGATCTTAACGTGATACAAAAATACTAAATAACATGCAAAATTCAGTGCCAAAGAGGGATTTATTTTGCGGTAGTTAAATATGTAAACATATGTTCTCAAACTGGCAGAGTTTAATACCAATTAAAGCTCGCAATGCTATATATTTGGTTTGATACGAAGATAAAATAGTAAATACTCATAATATATAATTACAATATGTCCATGACCTTACTCAAAAATTTAAATTATTAAATCACATAATGGAACAACTTGCAATTTGCTACGCTCACTCGTTAGCAATAGTTCTCTTCAACACTCGAAATAAATTACATATTTCCGCACAACCATGTATAAATATCCTCTATACATTCCAGTTTACCTTTAATTTGTCAAGTGGTAGGCACAATATTAGTCCTTTTGATTTGTTATTCCCTTTCCCCAACACGGCAGTGATAGGAGCTTGAAAAAATGACAGTTGAATACTTGCGTGTAATTTGCTCGGAGCAATTTGCAATCAACATTGCAAGATTGATTGCAATGTTGCAATACTCATGGGAACAGAACATCCGGTTTGACTGTAAGAGTTATATCAAAAAGACTGCCATAGAAGAAGATTTTATCAAAATAAAGTCAGGATAAAGTCTATTAATAGTTTAATACCACGATTACTAATGATTACTACTCTTGAAAGCTTTTCGAAAGACGCCATCTTGTTTTAAAGCTGTTCTAGCCTGCGAACAGGCCTTCAAAACAAGGTTGACGGACTTAACAACTTAACTTAACTTACTTAACTTTACTTTACTTTACTTTACTTTACTTTACTTTACTTTACTGACTGACGCGATAGCAATATATCTGCGCTACGCGCAGATACAAAAATGAATGCTCCTTTAGTGAACTATTGATGTAGAGATTTAATATGCCAAGTATAGAATGGCACAAGGATTTTCATGTTATCAGCATGATTAAATCGTGAGATTGTGCAAATAATCTGTGTAAATCTCTTAGAGATATCCTCAGTAGCTACAGTTTAAGGTAAAATAACTATGGTAAAGCTATTCAAGGCAAAAAAGCAATGGATCTGTCAACCTCGTTGTCAACAGTAAATTTAGCTAAGTTTATGATCCATTTATTGCCGTATTTTAGCTGAGAATTCATTTAAGACAATGCAATACGATAGACTTACCTTTGAATTTATCATATATTCTTTTAAAATGGTCACCAAAGCTCTAAAACTCGATTGGTATCGTTTTAACTTTCTCACAGCTTAATGTTTACATGTAAATTTGTCAAATTACACTTGTTTAGGGCACTGGAAACGAGACACGGCCAAGATGCGCGAGGCGACATGCGCGGGGACATCAACATCAAAGATTCCGACATCGAGTGAGACTTCTGCAGGCTGCTCCATTTACTGTTCGGAGTACTCCGGATTTTCGGAACACTAATTAAATCGAACCAATAATGGTCACATGACTGTTCTGACGGTCACATGACTGTTCTAGCTACCCCTACTTTTGAGTAGGGGCAGTCAGAACAGTCATGTGACCGTTTTCGGTTCGATTCGATTAGTGTTCCGAAAATCCGGAGTACTCCGAACAGTAAATGGAGCAGCCTGCAGGTCTTATTATTTATTTTGTGATATCATCGCTTTATACCAACTTGAACTGGTTGTAGTTTGTTCAATCATTCAAAATTGATAGTATATAATTATATGTATCTTTAGTAGAATTTGTAGGGATTTACTAAGTTGTTCAGTAGGTGTTTCAAGTCAACTTTCAACTAGATTTTAGCTATTATTAAATTATGGATTTCACTTTAAACTGCATTTTTTCAGTCAGCCGGAAATTCATGTCAATGATGTCATGACCTTTCATTATCATATTCATATTTCCAAGCAGAGATTTCCAAGTATTGTGAATAATCAAGGTGTTGTTATTGCAAAATCAAACCAAAGCGAAGGCGGAAGTGTTTAAAAACCTCGTTTGTTTCTTGCTCTCGATTTATTTGCTTTACAATGTAAGATAAATGTGTCAAAGAAAGATCATTGGTACCGAATCTTTAACTGGAAAGTGACGCAATGTTTCTATGAGCTGTGAAGCATGGCTTGCTGCCCGACCGAAGTGAAATATGGCTACGAAGACTGTCGATTTGAGAAAGATGTTGACGAAAATTTTCATTGTTCTATCTGCTACAATGTTCTTAAAGAACCAAGGACGTGTAGGAATAATGATCACATCTTTTGTCTTGCCTGCATCACTCAACATCTAAAGGTGAACTCTCAAACTTGTCCTGAATGTAATGAGCATTTGAGCGTCGATACGCTTCGTCGGCCGCGTGTGTTGAGCAATTATTTGTCTAAACTAAAGATAAATTGTGATCATGCCAGTCGAGGATGTCCTCAGTTTACCTGTCTTGAAGATCTCAAAACTCACGTGGCGAATTGTGGCTATGCACCTGTGTTGTGTTCAAATGCAGAGTGTGGTATGGAGATTAACAAGCAAGATAAGGTCCATCATGAAACTGAAGTTTGTGATTATAGAAAAGTGACATGTCATGACTGTGGGCAGATACAGGAAGATGTCGGAACATTGAAAGGAAGTTTAATGGAACTGGATGGGAAAGTGGAAGCAGTGAAGGAAATCAATAAGGAAATGAACGAAAAAGTGAAGGAAATCAACGAAAAAGTGGAAGCAGTGAAGGAAATTAATGGAAAAGTGGAAGCAGCAGTGAAGCAAATAAACGAAAAAGTGGAAGCATCAAGTGGACAAACGAAGAAGGAAATCGGGGAAGTTAAGAAAGAAGTCAAAGATATGAAGGACAATCTTTCCAAAGTGAACAAAGACGTGGACGAAGTCAAAGTCATGATGATTCAAATGTTAGAGAAGTTAAATATGCTTGAACTGCTGAACAAACTGCCATCTCCGACTGAGGGAATGTTGAACACACCAAGAGAGGATATTTTGATTGCAGGTGGATATGGAGGGCATTCAAGTAGTTCTGGCAAAAGTACGGAAATATATTCCTGGGAGAAAAATGGTTGGGTTGAGGTGTCGCCAATGAATGACGACCATAAAGGAGCTTCATCATTTACCCACAAAGATCAGTTCTTTGTTGTCGGGGGAGGTGGTAGAAAGGCAATAGAGACCTTGAATCTCGATGAATTACCTTTGAAATGGACGAAATTTCTTGGGGAACTGCCTTATAAATATTTTCATGATCAAACTGTTGTTTACCAGCAGAGTATCATTCACATTGGTGGATATGAATGGATCAAAGGATATTCTAACGTGATTAGTGAATTGCAACTTACTTCACCTTGCACTATGAAAGAGTTGTGTCAAATGCCTCAACCACGAGGACATCATTCCGCTGAGGTACTTGAAGATAAAGTGCTGATTTTAGGAGGATTTAACTCCGTCAAGATTACAAACAGTGTATTGGAGTTTGATCCAAAAAGGAATAAATGTAAAGAGATGCCAAAATTACCGTCTGCCTTGAGGAGAATGGCAACAGTTCGCTGGAGGGATGAAGTAGTTGTGCTTGGAGGTTGTGGTAAGGATGACAAAGTTCTGAATGATGTTTTCATGTACAACTCCAAGACTGGCAAAACCACAGCCTTACCATCCATGTTGGAGAAGAGATGTAACTGTTGTGCAGTTATTACTGGAAATACCATTGTAGTGATGGGAGGTAGGAATGAGAAAGATGAATATCTCAGTTCAGTGGAGTGTTTTAGAATGGGAGGTTCTACATGGGAGTATCTTCCTGCCATGAACAATCCAAGATACGAAGCAGTTGCTGATGTTTTACCTTCCACACGAAAATATGTGTAAATTGAACATTGAGACAATCATAAGACGTTAATTCATAATTAGGTTAGGTTTTTGGGCACGATTACCTGGTTCAGCTTCGCTGGGTTGAGATATGGGATGATTTTGATGTATTGAAATATTCCACGGTTTATGATTCGGAGAAATTACATCAATTTCCCAAGATTGTTTGCCATGGAATTGATGCTGAACAGTTAGCAATTTACAGTCATAATAATTTCGTTAAACTACAGGTTTGATCAATTGCATTCCAGCTCCTAATATTGTCGTTTGACTTCAACTTTATATACGTTGTGACTTATGTCGATACATTAAAATCATCCTGCTTCATCCTGAATTACATCTCAATAACTATATAGTGATGTTTATGTTAGTTGAATATATACAGAGAATGTACAAAATTATAGCAAAGTCCATTCTCCACAGCCTTTCTTAAGATGACATCGCAAATTTTAAGAGCCTAAAATTAACTTTATAACATTCGACTGTGGTTTCGTTTAAAAACATTTGATTGATTGTCCCAGATTATAATTATAGTATTAAGTAGTCATGACTGTAAGTTATAATAAATCAATAAAATTAATAAAATATTATCTCTTAATCAAGTCTGAAATAAAACTATACTGGAAATTCTCGTTTATTCAACTCTGAGCAAACGAACGAAATATTTTGAATCTTGGAGACTGCTTTTCAATCGAGAAAAGTGCACAAATCCGGATACCAGTAAGATTAAAAAAATCACTCCAGAAAAACGATATCTTTTAATAATCTAAGTTTCACCATCAATCATTTCGGAATTACGGTGAAATGTACGCAGACAATAGCATGAGAACGAGGCGTCGTGCAAAGTTGTTATGTTTCTGTATTTGGCACGAACCCTCGACTTGATCTTATTGTTTTTCACAACTAGAGCGTGATCTCGAAATAACCTATTGTTGAACAATCAGTTTGTTTTGGATGAAAATCAAATCTAATCTGTAATATCAACCGAAAATGTATCTAGAGGCTGAATTGTATGTAATTTATGACGAGAAATGTTTTTTGTTCATAATATTAATATAATAATATAATATTTTTATAACATATTAAAACGCGAGCAGGAGTGTTTTATCGGAGATGAAGAAAGTATTATTGCACGCTGTGGTTACCAAGCCCCGGCGCGCTCCATTGTTTGCTAAAGAGCGCATGCGAATTTTCCATAATTTTTAAAGCGTAATCAAAATAGCTTTCTTTCTAACTTTTGAATATATAATAAAACAATTATTGAATTCGGTTTTCGTTTATGATATCGAGAATTATCAAGGCCTCGGTTTGTGTTATCCACTTCGGCCTTTGGCTTCGGCGGAAAACTCAAACCTCGGCCTTGATAATTCTGGATCAATCTGGTTCCCCGAGCCTACGATCCTCGGGAAGAAACGTGAGGCTCTGGGATAATCCGTTTCATGGAGGAATCTGATTGGCCGTTGATATGGAATGCGTAGTTCAATCTTAGCCAGGATTCCTGGCTTCCGGCAACGGATTATCCCAGAGCCTCACGTTCCTTCCCGAGGATCGCAGGCTCGGGGAACGAGATTGATTCTGGATATCATACTCAACCTCATTCAATAAAAATATTGTGAAAAATCATATCAGCATTATGACGTGACTTCGTTAAATATCTCAGAGCTCCTTATTTAGTCAACTGAGTTGATATACAGCGATTTCACAGTTGGCTGTCAGCCAATCAGAAACAATGAATCTTTTGCCAATACTTCCTTTTACCCCAAACACCTCCCAAATTTATTTTCGTTTATTTCAGCTATTATCAAAGATGTTTATCCGCGAAAACCATCCATTGTGTCAAAATACGCTCTACCAGTGATGTGGAAACTTCTCGAGTCTTCGAGCAGTGCATCGACTGGCAGTGGAAATATGAAGGAAGCCGTTCACGGTTTGGCTAACCTACTTTATTCTTTAATGGGACAATCTCTGTTTGAGCAGGCTCAAGCAAAGTCGCACAGATTACGACAAAAGCTCAAAGAGCTATTGGATCAATGACTGGATCAATGATTGACAATCTGCTTTGTGAGCAGAGAATGTTGGAATGGAGTCCAGGCGAGCTTCCATAAAAGGCAGTTACACACACACAGAAAATTCCGTCCCGCCAACACGCTGAGCTTTTGCCGCGTTCGATCTGGCCACCATTAGCTCAACTTCGGCCGTACAACAACAGCCAGAACATCAAAACTGGCCGAATTGGGCTCACTGCTGCTCGGATATTTTGCTCCTGCATGCGGTAAATTCTCTATTAAGACCCTCTCTCTTTCAGGCAATAATATAAGCTCCTGTTCTTTAGGGGAAGCCTTTGGCTAATAACTTCCACGCTTATTTTAGAGGGAGAAAACTATAAGCTCGCGCCCATCCCTGGCCAATATGCCATTCGCTATTGGTCCACTCTCCAAGAAAGCCTTCTCCCTCAAGCGTGTTTGAAATAACTAATCCCCCCCCCCGGAGACTTGATATAGGATTTACCATCAGGAATGGAAGGTTGTGGTCGCCTTTTATAAAAGAAACTTCCCTGGTGTTGACAAGTTGTCTTAAAAGAGAGTTCTATAATATTTAATATATTAATAATGTTTTTAACATTTGTACATACACAATGCGTGAACATTTTAAAAAGAGTGAAAATTCAATTGGAATTTATATATGGCTATAGTTTAGCTGTAAACATTTTTATGCTGAAATAATTATACCTGTAAATGTACTTTAGTAGTTGACCACAAATTCAAGACGTCCCTCGAAGTGTTCACGTGGTAGCCATTACTTTTTCGTCAGATTTGCCATTGACAGTTTTGGTGTTTGAAAATGGCGTCAAAAATGGGAAAAACTCATTAGCTTTTCCCAACAACAAGTAAAGGTGAACGTTTTTTGAAAAAAGTTAAAGCCATTAACTCCTTTACTTTTTCGCCATTTTTCACCTTTTTGAGAACTTCAAAAGTGGCCGAAATGGGCGAAACGTTCAGGGGTTCCCTTAACTTTTTGTCGAATTTCAGCCTCGTTTTGAAAATGTGAAAAAGTGGTTAAAATATATGGCCAAAAGGTAATGGCTAATCGTAAATTTTTGGCTATTTTATTTTAATAATTAATAGTGCTTGCTATTTGCATAAAATGCGATTGCCGAATCAGAGTGCATTAAAATCTGACCAATAGGAATGCGTTCATAAAACTTGTTTTCCCCCTGGGGGGGGGGCGGGAAACCCAGGGGACTTTGACTATACTATGAAGCCCCAGTGAGGGGAAATTGACCATTCATCAACTGCCAGAGTGCGAAAGTTTGCACGGTTTGACATTAATAGGCCTGGTTACAAGTATGGCGGAGAATGGTGGAGATTGGATGGTTAGCACTATTTTCCATCCAGCAAATTGACATGACGTCATTTTTGGAAGATGGAAGATGTGTTAAATGGCTATGTAACTGACCCAATCCCTACCCCTACTCTAACTCATAACCGCAACCCTAACCTTAACGAAATTAATAAAAAAATCCAAAAGGAAACGACGTTAAAAAATCGATAGGGCGGTTTGCTGGATGGAAAAAAGTGCTAACCAGATTGGAGAAGCAAGATCAAGTTTCATCGAAAAAGGTATTTTTAATACACAGTGTTTCAATTTTTGTAACATCACACAAGCATATTCTTTCTATTGGTTAGAATTTTTCCTCGCAGCATTTATATTGCGTTTCGACTAGCTTAGTCATGTAATACGTCCCGTCGCTCCTGAATAACTTCTCTGTCTAGTGTAATAATCACCCCTGCCTCTTCAACGTGGATGGTTATGCCGTTGACTGTCTTCGGAATAACCATTCAACTTGGATGGTTATGTCGTTGACTGTCTTTGGCATAACCATTCAACTTACTGTAGATGGTTATGCCGTTGAATGTCTTCGGCATAACCATTGGATGGTTATGCCTGGTCATGGTTCAAGTCTATCATAACCATGGTTCACTTTAACCGAAAAGAGTAACAGCGGGGCCCCCAAAAGCGCGGGGCGCGTGGCATATGCCACTTCTGCCATATGGTTAATCTGGCACTGGATTAGATTGGCGCAAATTCTTGCTTCTCTACAGGGCCTGAAACGGGGTAGAGCGCGGAGCCTTGAAAAGCGCGGCGCCCCCAAAAGTGCGGGGCGCGTGGCATATGCCACTTCTGCCATATGGTGAATCCGGCACTTGGCAGTCTGGCCGCTTTTGAGCATAATTTTCCAAAGGCAAAGCTTGTTTTTAGTCAGTCTAAAGTATTTGTTATAATAGTGTTGTGCCATTTCTCTTTCGCTTTGTTTTGTTTATGAAAATGTGAATTCCATTTCTAGATCATACACGTCTTCTTCAACCTCTGTCAGTTTATTCTCCTCGCTCCTGGCGGAGTGCAAAACAGACCTTCCGCTGTAAAGAAGTTATTAAGTAAGTACTTATCATATAGCTGTCTTATCATAAGTTGCTCTGTGTTAGTATAGATTTTCTTATATAACACCTCATTACATTTTGGTCATTTAATTAGTGCATATGATCACATCATAATATTATACTATTTTAATAAAATATTATATTTTAATATTATTAAAATATTATATAATATTATAATATCTTTACCACAATTAAAGAAAATTTGTCAATCAAAGTTTGATTTGAGCAATTTAGACCAAGAAGCTATCCAATATTATAATATTATTAAAATATTTGCCGGTTTACACGAGACACATGAAACAAGATTCATTTGTAAGGTCCGCATTTCGACATTTGTACGACACCATCTGCATCATCACTTGTAACTTTATACCAACTTGAACTGGTTGTAGTTTGTTTAAAGTAATTCAAAATTGATAGCATGTAATTGTATCTATCTTTGGTAGAATTTGTACGGTTTTACTAAATTGTTGAATAGGAGTTTCAACTAGATTTTAGCTATCATTAAATTATGGATTTCAGTTCGACTGCATTTTTTCAGTCAGCCGGAAATTGATGTCACGACCTTCATTATCATATTCATATTTCCAAGTATTGTGAATAATCAAGGTGTTGTTATTGCAAAATCAAACCAAAGCGAAGGCGGAAGTGTTTCAAAACCTCGTCTGTTTCTTGCTCTCGATTTATTTGCTTTACAATGTGAGATAAATTTGTCAAAGAAAGATAATGCATTAGTATCGAATCTTTAACTAGAAAGTGGCGCAATGTTTCTATGAGCTATGAAGCATGGCTTGCTGCCCGACCGAAGAGAAATATGGCTACGAAGACTGTCGATTTGAAAAAGATGTGGACGAAAATTTTCATTGTTCTATCTGCTACAATGTTCTTAAAGAACCAAGGACGTGTAGGAATAATGATCACATCTTTTGTCTTGCCTGCATCACTCAACATCTAAAGGTGAACTCTCAAACTTGTCCTGAATGTAATGAGCATTTGAGCGTCCATACGCTTCGTCGGCCGCGTGTGTTGAATAACATGTTGTGTAAACTAAAGATAAATTGTGATCATGCCAGTCGAGGATGTCCTCAGTTTACCTGTCTTGAAGATCTCAAAACTCACGTGGTGAATTGTGGCTATGCACCTGTGTTGTGTTCAAATGCAGAGTGTGGTATGGAGATTAACAAGCAAGATAAGGTCCATCATGAGACTGAAGTTTGTGATTATAGAAAAGTGAAATGTCATGACTGTGAGCAGATACGGGAAGATGTCGGAACATTGAAAGGAAGTTTAATTGAACTGGATGGGAAAGTGGAACAAGGAATAAAGAAATTGGACGAAAAAGT